CTCTGAGGCTGAGAGTGTGTGACTTGCCCAAGGTCACTCACTGGGTTTAGATGGCCCAGCCAGGAGTTGAACACTCATCTCCAGAGTCCTAACCCAACACTTAAACCACTATACCACAGTGTCTCTAAATACTTAGTAATAAATATATATTACTATCTGAGTGACTTTCTGCTGGGGTTTTTATTTCTGATTGTAAAAGATTTAATTTGAAGGACTGAAACATATAGAAAGGAGAAGGATTTTTTCTTGTATGAGAGGTATTGATGGATCTTATAGTTTAATATAGTTTTAATAACTGCTGAAGAGACCATTGGAAGTCACTTTCATCATTTCTAGTTTCTTCTTTTCTTTTCTTTTCTTTTCCTATGATTGGTATTTGCTTTTTCCTCTCTCTTGTTCTTTTCCATTTTCTCCTTGTATATTAGACATTGTTGGTCTGCTTTTCTGTATATGGAAAACCTTAAATAAAATTTGGAAAATAAAAATAAAAATGGTTCTTGAACACTGGGACTTCACTAAAAAGTAGACTTCCAATCAAATGAGGGATAGGTATCTAGTATCTAGTAGCTAATGCACGTATATCTTGATTTTGTTAATTTACTTAAGTAGCATAACTTCTAAAGAAGTCTATTACTGCAATGTTAATATAATTTTACTGTGGCGCCCTCTGCTGATACAGATATTTAACTTTCTATTTCAACTGTCCATAGCAAGATGTTGCTCTTAATATGCCAATAAATTTTTCACAGTGTTTTGTTGTAAAAAACAATGTAAACAAATGAACAGATTATATCATGTATTAATTGTAGATGAATTCTGCAGCACCTTTAAGACTAACTGAAAAAAAAAAAGAAGTTGTCAGCATGAGCTTTCATAGACTTCAGTCTACTTCTTCGCATCTGAAGTCTACGAAAGCTCATGCTGACAACTTTGTATTTTTTTCCCAGTTAGTCTTAAAGGTGCTGCAGAATCTATCTCCAATTAATACTGATTATACAGACTAATGCGGCTATATCTTTGAATTCTAGATTATATCATGGGTTTTCAAGACCTGCTTTTACCTAATTGGTAGGGAAAAAATCATTTTTATTTTCTGCAAAGGAATTTTTTAAAATATATATTTTTTTCAAGTTAGCCAGAATTGTTTGATAGAACAAGATCTCAACAGAATACATAAAAATAACATTTTTTAAAAACAGGCTAAAATTTAGAGCATGGTACTGTTATAATTTCTATAGTCCCCAAGGAGGTTTCTGGGAATTGTTGATGCTATTGTGGTGTGCATTCTAGTCATTTCTGACTCATGGCAACCCTAAGGCAAACCTATCACAGTGTTTCCTTGGCAAAATTTGTTTGGATGGGATTTGCCTTTGCCTTTCCTCTGAGGAT